TCAACAAAAATTTAATTTTTGTGCTTCACATTTGCCTTATAGTCAACGTAACCTGAAGCATGTGATTATAAGGTTGGAGAACTCTCGGATGTACCCAGTGGCTCGTTTTTAACACTTAAAACATTTTCTAGCAGAGAGGTTTGGTTTTATCTCTTTTATATAAATTGCGAAATTTCCTTCTGGAATATTGCTTTGAACTATTTCTAGCCTCACCCACACACTAACGAATCCATTTCGTGTTTAACAATAAACTCTATTAGCCAAAACAATTGCACTTTGGCAAAATAATTTTCTATTACACTAAAAATAAAATTGCTATATAATTGCTTGCAAAAAAAAATCTAGAGGAGAGCGAACTTTTAATTTGCAATGCGTTAAAAAACAAGAATACCACTTAACAAGTTTTATCTTGAATAGCGGTGAACAGCGATGGTATGACAGATTTCTGTCTTTCACATCTGACGCTGGCCCATAGAATGGCTGCTGGAAAATCCCTTTACTTCAAACAAACAATACAAAACACTTAAACAACCCAGAAAACAACAGCAATTTGGTTGCAGCAGCAACAGTGAAATTCCGTTGCTCCATGGCAGACCATCAACATTTTCAACTGCTTTTAGGAAGGTTTTTTTGTTTTTGGCCAAAAAAAATGCTATCCTTGACCATAGAAAACAATGCCCAGCCTTTTGTGTAAGGCTGAGTTAACAACTGTTTTTTAGAGCAATGAGTTCCCTGTTTTTTCCCTTCTATCTTTGTCTTCAAAGGCAAAAAAAGGCCACACCAATTGCTGTGTGGTCGTTTGTGTGTATGTGTGAGTTTTGAAAACAACAATATAACACGCAGCAATTTACACTTTTGTTTCCCTGTTTCCTTACTGCGGGATGGAAGTAGAAACTCTGGAACAATTTGTTTTCTACAACGGTTTTGTATTCATTTTGTTGGGGGAAAAACTCTTTTTTTTGGTGTTGTCCAACAAATAAAAAAATATTTTCCCGCTTATCACAAAAGTTCATTAAGTGTTGACCAAAAAACGCAAACTTCTTCTTCGTTGGCCTCTGTGTGAACGAAATTAAATATCAAAAGTTAAAAAACTCTGTCATTTTATTAACAAAGAGCAAGGAAAAAAGGAAATATTGTCCTGCAAGGGAAATTCCAAAACAAATGGCAATGGTAGTTACTTTTTATTTTTTGTTTCCGATTTTTAAATTAAATGAATGTATGTGTTAGATTGATAAATTAAGTTATGGAGGTTTAACAATCAATGGAATTGCAATTTTCGAATTCCGAAAAAAGGAAAGTTGGTCTGAATTGTGCTAGGTTTATGCTCAATTGAGCCGATTTTTTTTTTCAAAATTCGAAAAAATTTCTGAGATATTCGAAAAAAGATTTTTTTCAAAAAAATCTGAGACAATTGCAATTTTCGAATTTAAAATTGTACTGAGTTGTACTCGGTTTGTGCCCATTTATGCCGTAAAATTATTTCGATATCTTCTACCAATTTCAAAAAAAAACGACAAATTCGAAAGTAGGCCAGAATTGTAATTTTCGAATTTCGAAAAATTAGGAATTGTGCTGTGTGCTTTTTTTGACGAAAAATTGTGCTAAGTGAGTACAACTCAGTGCAATTTACCACATCTCAAAATTTGAATTTTTACAACAATAACAGCAATTTTTCTGAAAAATACTGTTTTTTTCGAAATTGTTATATCATTAAAACGGTTAAAGATATTGAGAATAAAACGGCACAAATCAAGCACAACTCTTAATTTTTCGAAATTCGCAAATTGCAATTTTGGCATACTTTCGAAACTGTCGTTTTTTTCGGAATTGGTAAGAGATATCGAAAAAAATTTTTAACGGCACAAATGGGCACAAAACGAGTGCAACTCAGCACAACTTTAATTTTTTCTAAATTCGAAAATTGCAATTCTCAGAATTTTTTTCGAGGGTCGAAAAAATCGGCACAATTGAGCACAAACCTAGCACAATTCAGCACAACTTTCCTTTTTTCAAAATCCGAAAATTGCAATTCCAACGGACACCACATCGCTAGTTAGACACACAGAGTACTGGCGGTGGGCGTATGATTGTTGCAAACATTGAGTAATGTATCTCATACGTACCAACGGACCTACGACGATCATTTAATTTTTTATTTTACAGAACAACACAAGCAAAAATTACAGGAAAAATCCAGCAGATTATATAGAGTGTAGGACACGTATAACGTCGTTTTGGAAGTTTACATCGCAAAGTAGCCTGAATATAGGAGACACGTTCCCGAATTAACCAAATTGTTCTTAATTTTTGAATTAAGATTCCCTGAAATCCATTCATTCGCCATAATTTTTACATTTTTTTTTTTTAAATTTTATTGAATGAAATCAAAAAATGTCGGAGGAAATAGAATCAAATTTCAGAATAATTTTGAATTGGTCACCTTTGGCACGAATTATGGCCTTCAAACGGCCAATGAAACCGTCACACGCTGCCCGAATGTTGCTCTGAGGTATTTCGTACCATTCCCGGCGAAGCGCTTACTTGAGGTGATCGACACTTTAGTATTTTTAGTGCCAACCTAGGCTTTCCAAAATACTCCAGACACAATAGTCCAACGGATTGGTATCCGGAGATTTTGGTGGCTATTGTGCCCTGGAAATTAAGTGAGGAACCTCATTTTGTAACCATTCTTGGGTGGCGCATGCTGAGTGCTATGGTGCTGAGTCCTGTTGGAATGTCCAAGGTCTGCGGCCCAAAAGTTTTGCGTGCCCAAGGCTTTAATACACCCTCCAGAATATTTTTGCGACAATATTCGGCATTTATTCTGATGCCACGGTCGATTAATATTGACCATCGGCTGTTATTGCGGCCCACACCATCACCATAGCCGGCTCTTGAGTTCTGATGGCTAACCGAAGGTGCACATTTTCAGCTGACCTCTTTGGTAAGTAAACGCTATCATTTTTTGTCTACAAACTGCTGGATAACGAATGTTTTCTCATCAGAGCGGAGAAAACCAAATTCGGCAGTTCACAACTTTCGGCCAAGCGGAGGAACTCTTTAGCTCTTTTGTGTCTGTTTTCTTTCTGTTGGGGTGTAAGTTCTTGCACCTTTTGGAATTTCAAGGGCTTTTCCCCGAGCTTATTTTCCAAAATTTGGCGTATTGAATATTGTGATATGTTCAGCTCACGAGCCATTTTTCGGCCACTGCGATGCTGGTTTCGATCAAGTCGCTTACTTACTTTTCGAACCATTTCTGCTGATGTTGCTGTTTTCTACCGTCCACTTCCATGACGTTGGGCTACTCTACTAGTATCACGGTAACGATGAATTCACATTCAAATGCTGAAGTGCTCTAACGATAGCCACTTGTGGTTTTCCAGCCAAATGTAAAGAAATCAAACTATCGCGCTTGAATTCCATCACGAATAACTTTTTTCTGGAAAATTCTCACCAAAATGCTTTTGTACGCTTGTAACTAATATAATGAGCTGTCACTGGAACATTTTTAACAGCTGTCGGACGAGTGGCTTATTAAATGACAGCAGTCTGAAGTTGGTTGCAGTTTTTATACCCTCCACCATACTATGGTGGGTAAATTAACTTTGTCATTCCGTTACATGTTTTTTTTTTGCCAGTAGGCAGGTTAAGTTCGTACATGGGTCATGTAGGTCCACGTTTTCGTATAGCCCCTATATAACGGTACCTCCCGATATTCCGCATTTTGATGATTTTAGCGACATTATTCACTGGAACCGTTTCAAATTTGGCATTTGAAGTTCGAAATGGATACTACAGCCTAAGACAGAAAATTGTCTGTGCAGATCCACGTCTTCGTATAGCCTCCATATAACGGTACCTCCCGGTATTCGGTATTTTCATGATTTTAGCGTCATTATTCACCGGAGTAGTTTCAAATTACGTATCTAGAGTTCGTAAAGGGAACTCCAGTCTGTGACAGAAAATTGTCTATGCAGGTCTAGGTCTTCGTATAGGCCCCGTATATCAGTACCTCCCTATATTCGGCATTTTGACGATTTTAGCAACAATATTCATAGAAATTGTTTGAGATGTAGTATTTGAAGTTTCGTAATGGATGCTACAGACTGTCACAGAAAATTGTCTATGCAGGTCCAGATCTTCGATATGGTACCTCCCTGTATACGGTATTTTGATGATTTTAGCCACATTATTCACCGTTTATTTCAAGTTTCATGTTTATTTCGTATATACACCAATATAACGGCTATATTTGGTATTTTTTAAGATTTTAGCAGTACTTTTAAGGGATTTTATTTTTTTTTTCGAAAATTTCCGAATTCGTTCCAAATGGTGGAGGGTATTCAAAGTTCGGGCCGGCCGAACTTTTTGCTTTTTAACTTGTTTCATGTCACCCTGGATATAGATGTAAAATGGACCACAACAACTAACAACACGACGGAGTGCTAAGGTTAATATCTGTGCAGTGCTCTATGACATTATTTCAAAAGCGAAATCTTCCAAAATGGAATTGGACTTCTAACATATTGTAGTGTTGTAGGATATCGACCCCATACGACTATAGCCTTTGCTTACTTGTTTAACCTGCAGTCATATGAAATTATGAATACTAACGCTTATTTTTTTGTACAAGGCATTTTATGGTTCTATGACATATCAGATCTCCATGAAATTTTATTACCTTCTTAAGGCCAAATATTTACATGTTATTTGTTTCGCTAATTGCCCCATTTGTTGACATTTTTAATGGCGTTAAATGACTTCAGTTAAGATGGCACTACCAACATTGTGGTGGTTAACCTCTTTTGGCAAACATTTGATGGCAATATTTTATGGTTATTTACGCCTTACATGCAACAAAGTATTTTCGTGGAAAATCTTAAAAACACCAATAACACGTGTTTTATTGAAGCTAATAAATCGCAACCTACACCATTTAATATTTATTTACTCAAATCAACAAATATTCGGCAATAAAATTCGGCTAAGAAAGCCTCTACTCACCTCGACCGCTTCGCCCCACAAAACGTAAATCGTTAAATTTGGCCACCTGATTCTTCATTACCGCCGTTGAGTTCCGCAGCTCTGCACAGTAGTTCTCATCGTTGCCCGCTCGCACCGTCACCATTGTCCCGTCCATAATATCGCCCAGCGAAACAACTTTAAATGCCACCGGTAATGTCTTGTTCGAACGCCAGTGCGGCGGCAGCACGGTACACACAAACAACGGGCTACTGGTTCGTATCAATTCACCCGGATGTTCGGTAAGAAAATCGCCCAATGTACGTTCGGCCAAAATATCCGAAGTCATTTTTGTGTAGGCCTCATTGAGCAGTTGAGCTGCTGTGGGCGGAGTATTTTGTTCTGTGGAATTGTTATTGTTACCATTCGAACTGTTGTTGGTATTTGTGTTATTCGAACTCGCGTTGTTGTTATTCTGTGTATTCGAATTGTTGTTGTTGTTGCTGTTCGCAGTATTGGAGGCGGCCGTGTTGTTGGCATTGTTGGCCCCACCTCCACCATTTGTTGTCGTCGTGAGATGCATTTTTGCCTCAAAGTTGTTCACTTTGTGGTTGGAATGCAGCGCTGCAGTTGCTGGCGTTGGATAGTGCTGCGTGCTGTGCTGCTGCTGCGGCTGTTGGTGGTGGTGGTGTTGGGTGCTTTGGCCGTAATTGGCGGCAACGACTTGTTTGAAACGCACAATTTTTGTAGAGTTCTGGGCAACGTCTGGAGAAAGAAGATCAATTTTTAATTTCTTTGGGGGAAATTAATTTTCAATTTGAAGATTTGATGCAGATTTTTGTTTCACGGATGCTTTGCGGATTTAGAGAAGCGCCATCTGCAAGAAAAGATACAAAATTAAATAAATTAATTAAAATTAAAAAACAGGAAACAAAATAATTTGTAAAAATTGAGACCATAATCGGCTCGAATACAAAGACCGTCATGTAGCTCGTCAGTGGGGTATTTCCCTCTAAAAACTCTCTTAGGACGACTTTGTGGTCCTCTGAAGAAACGGACTTTCCGTCCTCTGGTGGTCTATAGAGACGACTTGTTGATCATCTATAGCAACGACTGTTTGTTTGTCTATAGAGACGATTTTTTGGTCGTCTGTAGAGACGACTTTTAGGGTTGTCTATGGAGACGAGACGGTTTCAAAAGTCGTCTCCATAGACGACTTTTAAAGTCATCTATGGAGACGACTTTTGAAGTCATCTATGGAGACGACTTTTGAAATCGTCTATGGAGACGACTTTTGAAGTCGTCTATGGAGACGACTTTTGAAGTCATCTATGGAGACGACTTTTGAAACCGTCTAAGGAGACGACTTTTGAAGTCGTCTATGGAGACGACTTTTGAAATCATCAATGGAGACGACTTTTGAAGTCGTCTATGGAGACGACTTTTGAAGTCGTCTATGGAGACGACTTTTGAAGTCATCTATGGAGACGACTTTTGAAATCATCTATGGAGACGACTTTTCAAGTCATCCATGGAGACGACTTTTGAAGTCATCTATGGAGACGACTTTTGAAATAGTCTATGGAGACGACTTTTGAAGTCGTCTATCGAGACGACTTTTGAAGTCGCCTATAGAGACGACTTTTTAAATCGTCTATGGATACGACTTTTGAAGTCGTCTATCGAGACGACTTTTGAAATCATCTATGGACACGACTTTTGAAGTCGTCTATGGAGACGACTTTTGAAGTCGCCTATAGAGACGACTTTCAGGTCGTCTATGGAGACGACTTTTAAAGTCGTCTATGGAGACGACTTTTGAAGTCGTCTATGGAGACGACTTTTGAAGTCGTCTATGGAGACGACTTTTGAAGTCGTCTATGGAGAATACTTTTGAAGTCGTCTATGGAGACGACTTTTGAAGTCATCTATGGAGACGACTTTCAGGTCGTCTATGGAGACGACTTTTGAAGTCATCTATGGAGACGACTTTTGAAGTCATCTATGGAGACGACTTTTGAAGTCGTCTATGGAGACGACTTTTGAAGTCGTCTATGGAGACGACTTTTGAAGTCGTCTATTGAGACGACTTTTGAAGTCATCTATGGAGACGACTTTTGAAGTCATCTATGGAGACGACTTTTGAAGTCATCTATGGAGACGACTTCTGCAGTCATCTATGGAGACGACTTTTGAAATCGTCTATGGAGACGACTTTTGAAGTCGCCTATAGAAACGACTTTTAAAGTCGTCTATGGAGACGACTTTTGAAGTCATCTATGGAGACGACTTTTAAAGTCGTCTGTGGAGACGACTTTTGAAGTCGTCTATGGAGACGACTTTCAGGACGTCTATTGAGACGACTTTTAAGGTCGTCTGTGGAGACGACTTTTGAAGTCATCTATGGAGACGACTTTTTAGTCGATAATAGAGACGACTTTCAGGTCTTCTATAGAAATGACTTCCATGTCGTCTATAGAAACGACTTTAAGGTCGTCTATAGAGACGACTTTAAGATCGTCAATAGAGACGACCTACAACAGCTCGTCTATGGAGAGATAACCTACACAGCTCGCCTATGGAGAGACGAGTTTCAGCTCGTCTAGAGAGAGACGAATTTCATCTCGTCTAGAGAGAGACGGGTTTCAGCTCATCTATGGTGGCGATTTTTCGCTCGCCTAGGCTCTTTTCAGCTCATCTATAAGGTATCCCCAACATCTATGAGGATTCCCCTTTGCTCATCTATAAATGTTCTCTTCAGCCGCTTTATAGAATCTCCATTTAGGATGATCCTTAGCTCCTTTATGATGACTCCCTCCAGCTTGGTTATGCAAATACCCTTCAACATTTCTATACCGTACCTTCCTACCCATTTATGTTCAATGTTTTCAACTCGTCTACAGAGTTTTTTAAATTAAAGTATCGATTTACATTCTCTCTTTCCTTTCCTTGGTTCCTCCTCCCCTGTGTTTCGTTGACTCGAGCTATTTCGTTTGGAATATAAATAAGGGTCAAACATTTTAATAATATTTGAAATTCTTTTACTTTGTCCAGACTTACGGTTATTAAACCAGTTATTAAACGTTTTTTATGTAACCAATTTTCGCCAGTCGCTGTCATGGACAAATAAAAAACAAATAACCAACCTCTGATATTAACAACACATGTGGTATGTTTTACGTTTATGGAGAGACAAAAAAACATCCTTTCTAAGGTCAAACTCCAATTAAAACTTAACTACAACGGTGAAACATAGCTGAAAAGACACACACACACACATTTCGCAGAGGTAGAACAATGGTCCTTTAGCCATGTTCTCGTTTTAAAATATTCATTTTTTTTAGATACCCACCTCTGTAGCCCTAACATCCTAGTAAATCCTTTTCTCTATTCCCAGCCAAAGGACAAAATGCGGCAAAAAAATAGAAAAATGTCAACTCTAGTAAATTGATACCACTTCCGTGGCAAAAGAAGGGCCATTTAACACTGCCACACTAGTGTTGGCAGTTCGTCTTGTTACTCCCTGTCGGTTACAGCACAAATTTACATCAATTCGAACAAGGACCACGACGACTACGGAAGTCACGAAACCATCAATTTTGATTTAACAAAGTCAAAGTGTTCTCTGTGACCCCAGGTTGTTAAGTTCCTCCGCGTGAGATGGCCGTTGGCATGATAAATACAGGCAACAGTTTGAGGTATAGAGCTCTTAAACACTCTGGCATCAAATCAAAAGGTGACAAACCGCGTTTTTTGTCCTTGGTTTTTGTTTTGTCGCGTATCATCGCCAGGATTTGGCGGCTGGGATATGTCGTTTTTCAAAATTGACATTTTTGGTTTTGGCTCTACCCCCAATCACTCCGTGGCTATGAACCCTAGTCACTGTCGAACAATAAAGTATTACCAACACTTTCAATAGGGCTTAGACGAGAGACGAAAAAAAATTGTCAGAGACCACCTCCTCCCCTAAAATAGACAAGGCACGGTATCTGTGATGCCTTAAATTGAGGTTTGATTCCAAAAGAACCATTTAATATCTTGTGGTATGTTGATGTTATTTTGGCTAGAATACCAGAATATCCATTCAATGAATTAGGAAAAAATATAGACCATCACACACTCACCCGCACCCACCCACACATAGTCTGTCTCTGTGTCAGACAGATACCAACACTCCCATACTTGTTTTTTTCTGGCGATTTATGGTGAACAAACAAACCAAAAAGAAAATATATTTTTTCGGCGTTTTATGTCATTCCATTTTGGTGTGTGTTTTTCTCATTGAAATTGAATGTGTTTTTTTGGTGTCGCATGGCCATTTGTTGGCCAAAAATCAAACCAACAAATGTGGCCAAAAAGTTTTTAATTTTCGCCATGAATTTGGTTGTTGTTCTTCACATTTGGGTTGCGAGGCTAAAAATAGAAAATTCGTTTTGTAAACATTTTGAATATTTGAAATTCTTAGGATCATTGGCTTAAAATCTAAAGAGGTGGCTGGATTTGGGGTCAATATTTATAGAAAGGAATCCATGTAGAGGTGCTTGAAGGAGCTTGGAGACCTAATATTAGCAATAAAAAAATAAGAATCAACGAAAAAAATTGAGAGTTTAGCAATGTTTGAATAAAATAGCGGACATATTTTATTGACGAACGAAGGGAAAGTATGACATACAGGCTATTTTAGACCAGCCTGAACGTATTTGTCTTATTTATTTATCCTATATCTATAATGCTCGGAAGGATTTACTAAGCCCATAGCATAAACATCTAAACACAAGCAATTTAAATTAATTATGTTTTTTTTTTTTTTTTTGGAAAAATTTAAGACCTTTCGAAACGGCCACCAGATTCGCATAACTTTAAATTTTTTTTATAAACTTATCCATGATTGCCAAGAGAGTTAAGAAAGAAAAAAACTAGCCTTCATAGCCTAACTAATTTTTTAAGGACAGCTGAAGGGGGACTTTCCCAATGGATCGAGTGGAATTTATAGAAGAACTCAATGAATTTTAAGGACGAGTTGAATGGATTCTTTATATATGAAGAGAGGGAAGTAGAACCTAAATACAAACAGCCCAAATGATAATGGGCTTAGAAAATAAAACAATATTTTTATACTCTACAACCCTGTGCTAAGGATAATGAGAGATTTTTTGGTACAAAAATTATGTAACACCTCGAGCATCTGCTTGGACAAAGGATATTACATATGGATCTTCCTATGTGTTCATCCGCAGCAGAAATGATTCGAAGAGTAAAGAAGCGACTTGATCGAAACCCGCGTCGCAGTGGCCGAAAAATGGTTCGGAATCTGAACATATCGCAATATTCATTCGGCAAATATTGAGAAAAGAGCTCGTGGTAAAGCCATTGAAATTCCAAAAAGTGTAAGAACTTACACCGCAGTAGAAAGAAAATAGACTGAAAAGAGCCAAAGAGTTGCTTCGCTTGGCCGAAAGTGGTTAACTGCCGAATTTGGTTTTCTCCGATGTGAAAAGATTCTTTGTCTAGCAGTTTGTAAACCAACAAAATGATCGTGTTTACTTGCCAAAGAGGTCAGCTGAATATGTGCACCTTCGGTTGGCCACCAGAACTCAAGCGCCGGCCATGGTGATGGTGTGGGCTGCCATAACAGCTGATGGTTCTCGCCATAAAAGTCCGCTCGTATTAATCAACCGTGGCATCAGAATAAATACCGAATGTATTAAAGCCTTGGGCACGTAAACTTTTTGGCCGCAGAACTTGGCTATTCCAAGAGGACTCAGCACCATCGCGCTCAGCACGCGCCACCCAAGAATGTTTACAAAATGAGGTTCCTCTCTTCATTGGCCATCAAAATGTCGGGATACC